GGTAGAGCCAGAGAGGCAATTGCAGATTAGGAAGGGAAGTGGAGACTGAATAGTTGAGTTTTTAGTGGTTTCTTGAAGACAGCGAGTGAATCTGCCGTTCTGATGCAGTTAGGGAGTTCATTCCATCAACTGGGCAGATTGAATGCGAGAGTTCGGGAAAGTGATTTCTTCCCTCTGTGGGATGGAACCACGAGGCGACGTTCATTCACAGAACGCAAGTTTCCGGAGGGCACAAACATCTGCAGAAGCGAGAGCAGATAAGGAGCGAAGCCAGAAGTCGCTTTGTAAGCAAACATCAGAGTTTTGAATTTGATGCGAGCAGCAACTGGAAGCCAGTGCAAACGGATGAGCAGCGGAGTGACATGTGCTCTTTTAGGTTCATTAAAGACCACTCGTGCTGCTGCGTTCTGGAGCAGCTGAAGAGATTTTATAGAGTTAGCTGGAAGCCCGGCTAGTAGAGAGTTGCAATAGTCCAGTGTGGAGAGAGCAAGAGCTTGAACAAGGAGTTGAGCTGCATGTTCAGATAGGAATGGTCGGATCTTTCTGATGTTATAGAGAGCGAATCTGCAACTTGCCTAATTACCCTAACTTTACCCTGATTAACCTAGTTTAGCCTTTAAATGTCACTTTAAGCTGAATACTAGTGTCTCGAAAAATATTCAGTTAAAGAAATCAGTTATTAGAAATGAGTTATTAAAACTATTATGATTAGAAATGTGTTGAAAAAAATTGCTCTCCATTAAAGAGAAATTGGGGAACTAAATATACAGGGGGCGAATAATTCGGGAGGACTAATAATTCTGATTTCTACTGTATCTGTTTTCTCCTTCAGGCTCTGGGTTTTGCGCTATCGCAGTGATCTCCGCACTAAAGCTCTTGCTTCTGAACAAGTGTATCAGGAGGCGGCGGAGCGTCTGAATGAAATCCGCCGTCATGAGGACCTGTCTGTGCTGCGGCAGGCGCGGGTTGTGGGAATGACCACCACTGGAGCTGCTAAATACAGGCAGGCTCTTCAGCAGCTGCAGCCCAGGCTGGTGATTGTGGAGGAGGCAGCAGAAGTGCTGGAGGCGCACACCATTACCACACTCAGCAAAGCCTGCCAGCATCTTATACTGATCGGAGACCACCAGCAGGTACACATGACTGCAGTTATCTCTGATCTATTATTGCCAATAGAGTCAGAGTAGATGATGTTCAATTTAGATTTTAATAATAATAATAATAATAATAATAATATTCATCATCATCATCTTCATCATGTATGTACAGCACTGACACTACTGCAATTATCTCTAATATATTATTGTCCATGGATTCAGAGTAGATGTACAATCTCTGCACCATGAGTAGTAGTAACAAGACCTAGTTTTTGCTTGGCCTGTTTTGAATTTGAAAACAACATAAGTTTAGTTTTATTGGCATTTAAAACTAATTTTAACTCGGATAGATTTTGTTGAAGTTCATTGAAAGCGATCTGTAGTTGAGAAAGGGCCAGATTAGGTGTAGATGCATGACTTGTATTAATTAATATTAAATTAATTACCATTATTATTATTTTATTTATTTATTATTATTATTATTAAATTAATTATTATTATTATTATTAAAATTATTATTTATTATTATTATTATTATTATTAAGTTTAATATTATTATTATTTAAATTATTAAATATTATTTTTAAATTAATTACCATCATTATTATTTTAATTGTTTATTATTATTATTATTATTATTTTAATTGTTTATTATTATTAAATTAATTACTATTATTATTTTAATTATGCATTATTATTACGTTAATAATAAAAATAATTATCATTATTATTTTAATTATTTATTTATACTATTAAATTAATTACTATTATTATTATTATTTTAATTATTATTATTGTTATTTTTAAATTAATTATTATTATTATTATTATTTATTGTTTTTGTTAAACGAATTTTATAATTGTTTATCAATAAAATAAAAATTTATTACGGTTAGTATCACTAATACTATTATTTACTGTTAATATTGACTAAAATACATATGTTTTAATTAGAAATTAATAAAATATATTTTATATAAAAATCATATTTAATAATTATTCTGACTAAAATTAATTTTAAATAAATAATTTTCCTTAACTTTTAGTAAAAAAATTGTTACTGTTACTAACACTGATATTATTTTTATTAATAATATTTGCTATAAAATATTACAAATATTAAATGAGATTAAAATATTTTTATTAATTATTTAATTCACATTTTATTATTATTATTATTATTATTATTATTATTATTATTATCTGATTTATTGTTATTTTATCAATACTCAAAGTTGAGTACTATTAATGATATTATTATAATAAATATATAATACAAATTCTACAATCATGAGATAATAACATACATTTTTTTATGAAATATGTTTTATTGATTTATTATTAATATTTTTTATTATTAAGTGGTAAAGAAAAATTGATAGCAAGTCTTAATTTATATTATTAATTAAAATAGCTTTCTGCTTCTGATTTACTGTGTTGCTTACATGTGTTAACATGTGTTAATGCACTTCAATCTTCGCAGCTGAGGCCTAGTGCAACAGTGTATGAACTTGCCAAGAATTTCAGTCTGGAAGTGTCCATGTTTGAGAGACTTGTCAGAGTGAACTTCCCATTCGTGCGCCTCAACTACCAGGTTAGTTTTTATATCAGTACCTCGGTTGACAAGTCAATAATCATTGACAATACCTAGTGAATACCTTGTTAACTTTTTTTTTTTTGCAATGCATTTTTAGCATCGCATGAGGCCAAGTATCGCTCGCCTGTTGACTCCTCATATATACTCATCTCTGGAAAACCATCCCTCTGTGCTGAAGTATGACAATGTCAAGGTAAATCAATTACGCACAAAGAACTTATGAAGATACTACTCACAGTAATTTGTGTACTATAATATACTTAACTCCTGCCTATGTTGGTCTACAGGGAGTTCTTACAAATCTCTTTTTCGTGGATCACATTCAACCTGAAGAAGAGATTAAAGATGGACGGAGCCACCAGAACCCACACGAAGCTCGTTTTGTGGTCGAGCTTTGTCAGTATTTGCTGTTCCAGGACTATAAGCCTTCCCAGATTACCATTCTGACTACATACACCGGACAGCTTCACTGTCTGCGTAAGCTCATGCCCTCTCCAAAGTTCTCTGGCGTCAAGGTCCATGTTGTTGACAAGTATCAAGGAGAGGAGAACGATATTATTATATTGTCCCTAGTGCGCAGCAATCCTCAAAGGAGGGTGGGCTTCCTGAACATACCCAACCGTGTCTGCGTTGCGCTTTCTCGAGCTAAAATGGGTCTGTATTGTATTGGAAATATGGACATGCTCAGCTCGGTTACACTATGGAGCAACATCATTCACACTCTGAGAGAGCATGATCAAGTGGGACCAGCTTTGACACTGAGCTGTCAGAACCATCCAGATAAACAGATCCACGCATCTTGCGGTAATGACTTCAAAGGTGCCCCTGAAGGTGGTTGCGATCAACCCTGTCAGTATCGTCTGGACTGTGGCCACGTGTGCACCCGTATGTGCCACCCATATGATGCCGAACACAAGGAATACAAGTGCATGAAGGACTGCTCAAAGGTGCTGTGCGAACTGGGCCACAAATGCACACGTCGCTGTCACCAAGAATGCGGCAAATGCATGGTATCTGTAGATAAGATAATACCATCATGCCAGCACAATCAGAAGGTGCCTTGCCACAAAGATCCTGCAGAATTCGTGTGTCAAGTACGATGCGAAAAGACTCTTCCATGTGGGCATCCTTGCAAGGCGACCTGTGGAGAGTCCTGCACCTCTCAGTGCATGGTGAGAGTTCCGATAGAGCTGAAATGTGGACACATGCAAGAAGAACCATGCTTTGTTTCTAGGGATCACAAAAATGAGCCAAGATGTAACACCAAATGTGGTACTGTCTTAAAATGTGGCCATTCTTGTCCAGGAACGTGCAATGGATGCCATCAAGGTCGTCTTCATAAAGCATGCACCCACAAATGCCAGCAAATCCTAGTGTGTTCCCATGAGTGTCGGGAGCCTTGCGTAAGGGATTGTCCACCTTGTTCCTCTCGCTGCCAGAACCGCTGTGTTCACAGCGAGTGCAAGAAGACTTGCGGTCAGTCTTGTGCTCCTTGCAGGGAACCCTGTGCATGGCAGTGTCCTCATCACAGCTGCACCAAACTGTGTCACGAACCATGTGATCGTCCACCTTGTTCTGTTCCCTGTAACAAGACCTTGACCTGCGGACACCGCTGCATAGGTCTGTGTGGAGAGCCTTGTCCCAATAAGTGTAGGGTTTGTCATAAAGAAGAGGTCACGGAGATCTTCTTCGGCAGTGAGGATGAACCAGACGCTTGTTTCATTCAGCTTGAAGACTGCAAGCACTTGTTTGAGGTCACAGGAATGGATCAATACATGAATCTTGATGAGGATCAAGGTGCTGAATTGGATCAAAGGGCGATCCGACTTAAGGACTGTCCTAGGTGTCGTACTCCCATCCGAAGAAACCTTCGATACGGCACTCACATCAACCGCAGTCTAGCAGCCATCGAGATGGTCAAGGAGAAGATCAATGGTGTGCCAGACATTATCAAGCAACAGCAGGATGTCCTTAGCTTGGTATTGAATGATAAGACAAACTTGAAAAAGTATCTTCCTGACAAGTTTGTCTCACTTCAAGAGAAGCTTGACACAAATGTCCTTTCAATCCAGCAACTCTGGCATCTCGAGAACTTGATGAATTTCCTTGAGAGTGTTGGAAAACTGAAAGCAACACAGGTCAAACATGAGAGTACCATTCTGGAAAGATTACAAAAAAATCAGCCATTCTTTAGAAAAACTGAAGAAGTCTTGAGATTTCTCTTAGATCCCGCTCAGAGGTTTTCAGAGCAGCAGGTTGCAGATCTCGGGCGTGAGTTGAAGAGACTGTCCTACCTGGCTGAACTCAACGAACGCTGCAGGATGTCTCGGTTTAAATCTCCAGAGGTTGTTCTTGGCACTGAAGTCCAACACCTAAGAGGCATCCTGGAGGACACCTTACCTTTCTCTGAGGGTCTGGAGCGTACAGTCCAACAGATGTTTACAAAGCTGGATGTCATACTGCCACGCAGTGGCCTGGGCATCACTGAAGAGGAGAGGGTGATGATAGTCCAAGCCGTCGGTTTGAATAAAGGCCATTGGTACAAATGTCCTAACGGCCATGTCTATGCTATCGGTGAATGTGGGGGTGCTATGGAAAAAACCAAATGTCCTGAATGCCATGCAGAAATTGGAGGCTCTAATCATGCACTTACTCAGGGAAATGCTGTGGCGTCAGAAATGGACGGTGCACAACATCCTGCCTGGTCAGATGCTGCCAACATGGCAAACTTTGACCTGGATAACTTTGAAGATTGAAATTATTACTTACTGTTGTCTTCTGTTGCCAGGGTTTTAGTCTGGTTTAGAAACAAATCATTATATGTGCCATATACTGCACATTTAAAGATTCAACTTAAAAGTGCTGTACTTAGTGATTCAATTATGTCGTATATATCTGGTATATATATAGATATTACCAGATGGCTGGCCGAGCTCCTTATTAAAGTCTATCGCACACTGGATGTGAAGCGATGTGCCTTTTAAACTACTTAACATTGTTTCCAATGAGTGTACTGTATGCACATCGTTGCCGCAATTAGGCTTTCTTCTACATCACTTGGCAGCCTGTAAAAGAATGTGAATATGTGGCGCTGAAATTCCAAAAAATCATGCCTTGATCGATTTCAAAATAAGAGTCCACATACATTTAAGGTTTAATATAAGCATAGATGTATATTATCATTGCTGTCTCACTAGTAAACCTTGTGGCCAATCAAAAGAAGTCTGGGGCATGCATAATAATGGTTCCTTCTGCATCGTATCAGTTTGATTTTACATTCATGGGATTTACATTGAGGAAACACTAGTGTTTAAGGCTCATGAATCCATTTTTACGTCGGTATATCTGGATTTTCATTATATGTCACCTCAATAAATGTGCATTAGGCTAATTTCAAACCAGGCTCATTCTGAAAACGTAGTCCCGCGGACGTTTTTGGAGACTGTGAATTATGTAGCCGGAGGTACGTATGGCTGCATTTAATATTTTAAGCGAACGCTACGGGCGGTATAACGTCTTTCCTTTTTGCGCTTATCAGCTGACCGCTTACCTCCATGTGGAGGGCTTTCCCACCGCAACCAGTTTGTCCAGTTAGCTCGTCGTGTTCGTCAGCGGACTTGAGACGCAGAGAGGAGCTGACCAGGATGAAAATGACGACCATGTTCGAGTCCAGGGAAGAGTGGTTTCAGAAATCAGGTTAGACAAAAACAGAATCCAGTTTATAACAGGGTGAGAATGTGGTAAAATCTAAAAATGTGGTAAATATCAGGCGAGGGCTTTTGTTTTTCTGGACGGCTTTTGTAAATTGTTGGTTGGGTTTAGGGAAGAAAGCGGGTGGGCAGGTCAATCGGTAAAACTGGTTGGGTTTAGGGAAGGAGGAGGAGGAGGGTGGGTCGGCCGATTGGCTGGTTGCCTAGTCAATCATTTAGCCAGTCAGACAGACAGTCAATCGACAGCGGTGGGTTTACACGAGAACAGTGAGGACTCGAACGGCACTTGCGAGAGACATTTGTAATGTGAAAAAGCGCACAGCTGCCTCTCAAGGAATCGCGAAAACCAAAACTGCAAAAATACGTACCTACGGCCACATAATTCTTAGTCTCCAGAAACGTTCGCGCTACATTTTCAGAATGAGCCTGGGTTGGCTAATTTAGCCAAACAATGTCAATATTTCAAGGCATAAAAAAAAAAAAAAAAAAACTTGCCCATACACCAATAGGACCTTGCTCCTTTTGATATTTTGATATTACTGTTACTAGACACGCCCCTTACTTCTGATTGGCTGAAAATGTCTATTGTAACGACACCATTGTCAGAAGTGTAGTTCAGATATTGATTTGTGTTGCTTTAAGTGCTGCTTTTAATAAGATAAGGAGATAGTTGTAGCCTTTTAAAAAAGCAAGTTGTGATTTAAAAATCAGTTTACCTAAAAATGAAAACTTGCGCTGACACAGTTCCTAACTTTTAAGACTTTCTTTATTTTGTTGCACTTAAAACATATATTGAAGAATGCTGGAGTCTATTGGCACCAGTAATAGTTTCATTTAATCCAAATTATGATTTTTCTGCGCTATTTAAACTGATGGCATAATGAAAGGGTATTTTGCATTATTTCCTTGCATTTAATTTGAACATATAATCAGAATATGTTGTTTATTTTCCATGTGGATGATATGTTTTACTATGCATAGTCAGTGTGTAGGTGAAGTGCTCCTCCTACACTGATTTCGATCCTCATATTTATTTGGTGGAATCATTTCGTTTGTAGATGGCTTTGAATTACTTCATGTCAGATTGTGCTCTGTGAAATACATCTTTAAAAATACGAGATTTTGGTAACACTTTAGTTGGGGTAATAATTCACACCATTTGCTTTGGCTTATTACCTGCCGAATACTAAAACATTAACTGTTTATTAGCACTCTCTCACTTATTTTACTTCCCTAATCCTACCCTATCCTAATCACAACTACTGCCTTACTGAAAATTAATAAGCCACTAATTAGTAATTAATTGAGATAAAAGTCTTAGTTTATGGTTTGTTGAATTGTACGTTAAGATAAAGTGTGACCAAAATGTTTAAATAATGATAAAACAAGCACATTTAGCAGCATATCTCTGCTTCAAATAATGGTATGTAACCAGTGTCATAAATAAACAGATCCTGCATGCTGATTGGTAAAAATGGGATGGATTAAACGCAACACACTTGGATGTTAACCAATGAAATGTGCAAACATTGCTGTTGCTTACATGTCAAAACTATATGTTTTAATGCTTAATAAAAAACATGCATAATTAAATTTAATTGTAATGTAATGTGTATTTATTTATATAGCGCATTTATCGTGTATGGCCATACACCCAAAGCGCTTCACAATCACGAGGGGGGGTCTCTTCACACCACCACCAGTGTGGATCATCCACTTGGATGATGCGACGGCAGCCACAGGACAACGGCGCCAGTGCGCTCACCACACACCAGCTATTGGTGGAGTGGAGAGACAGTGATAGAGCCAATTCGGTGGAGAGGGGATGATTGGGAGGCCATGATCGTAAGGGACTTTGGCCAGGACACCGGGGTTACACCCCTGCTCTTTCACGAGTAGTGCCTTGGGATTTTTAATGACCACAGAGAGTCAGGACCTCGGTTTAACGTCTCATCCGAAAGACGGCGCCCACTGACAGTGTAGTGTCCCCTTCACTTTTACTTTTACTGGGGCATTAGAATTGTGTGTCTTTTATAACATAGTAGACATTTATTAAAAGTCTGTGCTTAATTGTGAATACAGTAATGCCTTATACTCCTGCAAAAACCATCGAAACCATAACAGAATTTTAAATGGTTTTATAGTTATAATAGAAATTAACTTCCTAATTTTTTCCATTCTGTTGATAGTAGGTTAAAAACAAGAAACCCTAACATAATGTCCCAAAACACTCCAGAAATCATCCAAATATGCTTTATAATGTTTTTAATGGTAACAATTCGAACTTCAGTAATGGTTTCTATTGATTTTTTTGTTTTATTTTTCAGCAGGGATGTTATTGCTTATGCATTTGTGTATAGCCCGACATGAGAAAAAAGAAAACCATTATAGTAAATTATAGTCTTTCTAAACCATAGTCTGTTGCGGCAACTCTATTGCTACAATAGTAATAAAACTATAGTAATATAAACAAATAACAAGCCAATACTCTAGCCTACTACAGTATCTACAACTATAAGGTGTATTAAACTACAATACACCGCAGTTTACTGTAGTTAAAAGCAAAGTATACAAACGTATTTATTACCGTTTATGAATTCCCTGTAGTTAATACTACAGTATGCTGCAGCATTCATTCCTGAAAGACTATCCAATCCTAAAAAAAAAATACTGTAGTTGTAGAAGCCACTTTTTTGTGTTGTAGTGATTTTTGTTATCCACTAGATGTCGCTAACTGATAAGTATAACTAAGGTGCCTGTGTAAAGGCTGATTTATACTTCTGCGTCAAACACCGGCGTAGGCTACGGCGCTGACGCATAGCCCTTCGCCGTGGCCATCGCCGTCACTGACGTGCACCTCTCAAAAATTGTAACCACACGTCGCAACAACGCGTAGCGCAAGCTCTGTGATTGGTCAGCTTGCTAGCGCCGACGAGTCTGGGCGGGACCGAGAGCCGCGCGAATGGCGCGAGCGATTGTTTACAAGTGTGGAGTCCCATGAAGGAGCTCCGGATGGAAAGTTTTGTTTTGTGTTTACCTCATGGTTAAAGTTGTTGCACGTCCGCCGGTTCCTGCCTCAAAATGAGCGAGTTTGAGTCACTTGTACATCCAGGAAGTGTTCAGAATAGCAAAACAGAAGCGAAGAAACTCGACACAGAGGAACATTTACACCTCACTGCCCACTAGCGTTTCGGAAGTGTTAATGCAGACCAACGGAGACAGCGCGCAGAAGTATAAATGCACAGCTGCGCGCGTTGCCTGCGCCGTGAGTTGCGCCGGTCACTTGACGCAGAAGTATAAACCAGGCTTAAGCGAGGAAGAGCATGGTATGGTATGGTCAGGTATGGGAAAGTTTTTGACCGTAAAAAAAAAAAAAAGGGTATATTGCTTGCTAGTAGAGCTGCACAATTAATTGTTAAAACACAGGTGTCAAACTCAGTTCCAAAAGGGCCGCAGCTCTGCACAGTTTAGTTCCAACCCTAATTAAACACACCTGATCAAACTAATTGAGTCCTTCAGGCTTGTTTGAAACCTACAGGTAAGTGTGTTGGAGCAGGGTTGGAACTAAACTGGGCAGGGCTTCGGCCCCCCAGGAA